ATCCCCAGTCTGCCACTTTTTCCTACATGGGCTGAGATGAGCGACTAAGTTTCTAACAATGTTGATTTATTTTTCAGTAAAATAATTATAATAATGGATTCCACTGACATATCAAATATTCCTAAAATAAGGCATTTTTATAGGTCAATCAGAGAGTCATTTTGAAGTCAGTGTTTTTAATTCAAGTCATATCTTTATGTATATATTGGAAATTTAGTTTAGATAATAATACTTGTTCATAAAAATACAAAAAATGTGAAATATTTTCCAAATGTAATGGTGTCACATTAGGTGATACTTTAGCAAGAGAAATTCAAATATGAAAGTGAAGACCTGTTATTCTTTTAATTTGGAAGATCTATTTTCCAGTAGATCCTCTTACTGGGAAGACTTATTGCAATATTTCCTATTAAATATATAAATGGAAGTCATTATGCACATAGGAGGAAAAGGTATAACAGGATCAGACTTGATTAAGACCTTCTCTCCTTATGCCTTTGTATTCAGAGTTGTCCTCTGGGGAAATAATGACCCAGTTGCTTAGGATTCCAGGAGTCTCTTCTGAACGAAGGAGTGGACATACTCTATACCTCCAAGAAATCTGGCACCTCAGAGATAGATGTTGTCCCATGGAAAGTCTGTGTTTAGTCAGCTTTTTCATTGCTGTGACCAAAAGACCTGACAAGAACAATTTTAGAGGAGGAAAAGTTGTTCCCGGTTCAAGGTTTCAGGAATCTCAGTCCATAGACAGACAGACTCCATTCCTCAGGGCTTAAAGTGAGACAGAACACCATGGCAGAAAAGTGTGGCAGAGGAAAACACCAGGAAGCAGAGAAAGAGCTCTCCTTGCTAGAATAAAATATAAATCCCAAAAGCATACTCCCAGGGACCCATCTTCTCCAGTCACACCCTCATTGCCTAGAGTTACCACCCTGTTAATCCCTGTCAGGGCATTAATGCACTGACTAGACTAACATTCTCATAACCCTTTCATTTTACCAATGAACTTTCTTGCACTTTTCACATATGAGCTTTTGGGAGACACCTAAAACCTATACTGTAACAGTCTGTTGCTATAAAGGGTTGCTAGGAGTCAATAAGGAAAACTCACCACAAAAGCATTAATAAACCAACATAAGTGATCAATACATAGTCTATCAAAGTTATTGGCCTGGCAAAACAAACACGTTATTTGAGGTAGATAAATAAATTATTTATCAGAGCATTTCTACTATCACATTATACTCAAATTACATCTCATTCTTGCTTCCTAGACTCTAAGATAACCACAAATTGAACATCTATCTATCTTTCTTTCTTTCCTTTATATATTTATTTAATTTTATTTATTCAGCGATACTGGGAATTGAACTCCTAGGCACTTTACCACTGAGCAACATCCTTAGCCATTGAATTTGTTTTATTTTGAGACAGGGTCTCGCTAAGTTGTTCAGGGTCTGTTTTGCCAGGGTCTGTTGCTGAGCCTGGCCTGAAACTTGCAATAGTCCTGCCTCAGCCTCCAAAGTCACTGGAACTACAAGCATGTATGGTACCAGTTGTGTGTGTGTGTGTGTGTGTTGTGTGTGTATGTTTTTTTTTTTTGAGGTGCTGGGGATAGAACCTAGGGTCTCACATATGTTAGGCAAGTGCTAAACCATTAAGAGACATCCCTAGAACCAGAGATTGAAGAGCTTAGAGTTTTCTAACAAACATATTTCTTGATAGTTTTGAACACTTAATATGTAAAAGTCAAAGTGGAATGTCAAAGTAATTAATTAATTATCCCATGGGCCAAAATAGCTTCACAAATGCTAAAATGAAATGCAATGTCACCCAAATAAAGTAACAGCGTATAGTAATATTTATCTGCCTGATACATGTAGATTCTAGGTAAATTGCAAGATGTGGTTTATTCCCCCAGAAATAAAGAAACAAACTAACTGCATCTAACTGCTTGTCCTAATAATAATCAAACAATAGAGTAACTATGATGTCCACTTACATATATCTCTTTTGTGTCTACCATATTTTGGAAATACCAATTTAAGGAAATATTCTTTTAACAAGCAGTAACTACCAGTTATCACCTGCTGGTGCCATGCAAGGCACTGTTCTGAGCGCATTACAGAAATTATGTCTTATAGTCATTTCAATGACCCATGGTGGCAATATGATGCAATAGCACGGACACATTCAAACTTGCTAGATTAAAATACAATTTTAGACTTTGGAACTATTCCACTTTAAATCCCAAGCTTCATCAACACAAAGTGAATGACCTTTTGGATGTCAGTCATTTACTTTAAAATGCTTTTGAATAAACAATGTGATGAGTACATGTGTTGGTTTAAATTAATCTCTGGAGAGAGCTAGTAGTTTATTTCATCAAAGTGGCTTACTTTGATTTTAATCAGAGTTCACAGTTCCTGTTTTCACTATCCAGATTTCTTTCAAAATCACAGGTCTTACTCATTGACCAATTAGAAATATTGGCTTTCCACTAGAAAATTAATGATGTTCATCAATATATGAGGATCACTGATTATTTTCGAAATACTTGTCACTCTTACCTAATGAATGTATAAGAATTTAGTTCCTTGGGAGATACAGCCCAATGACTTAATCCTAACTATCCTGATATTATGATTTAGATATAAGGTATTCCCCAAAAGCTCATGTGTGAGACAATGCAAGAATTGTGTGGACACAGAATTGTTGAATTGCAATAACTGTAACCTCATCAATTGATTAATCCATGATATGGATTAACCAAGTGGTAACTGTAGACAGATAGGGTGTAGTTGGAGGAGGTAAGTCTCTGGGTGCCTGCCTTTGGTTTTTATGCCTTGCCCCTGGTGAGCACAGCACTCAACTTGCTTCCTGATGCTATATCCTCAGCTGCTTTCCTTCACCATGCCTTTTCTCACAATGTTTTGCCTCACTTTGGTCTTAGAACAATGGAGTTAGCTGATCATGGACTGAATCTCTGAAAACATGAGCCCCAGACAAACTTTTTTTCTTCTAATTGTTCTTGTCATGTCTTTTGGTCACAGTGATGAAAAATCTGACTAAAGCAGCCACCGTGACTTAACTTCTCATTGCCTGATGCTTTCTGTGAAGGGTACTTGGATCCTACTTGTGGAATAAGGTAGTCTGCCTCTAGTCCACCTTTCAGTGAAAGGTGTTGAGTAGAGAAGCTTGAAGGTCAGAAAACTGGAAGGAGGAAGAAGAGAGGGAAGGGAAATAGCTGCAGCAACCTTTACAGTTAGTTGCCACATGTACATCAGCCCTTAACTACTTTTAGTTACTCTAGTGAGTTAGTTTTAGATTATTAATTGGAACCTTTTACCTCTCAGTGAGATGAGGTTTATTATTATCATGAAATCAAAATAATTCATTCAAAAGACAAAATAAAAGTCAAATCAATATAACACTTCACATAGCAGAAACATCTCAGAGTGAGTTAAAAATGAAATAGCATGTTTAATCAAAAAACCAAGGATCCTCTTCTCTTAAAACTATATTTAGCTTTTGCAAAGCACAGAATCAAAAGAATGTGTTTATTTTATTCACCAGCTATATATCTCACCCCTGAATTAACGCTCTACTCTGTAATTTTCTTCATTATTCTCTAGAGAAGTTGCTTATATATCTGTCATATTTTAAGCAGGTTCTATACTACCTTAGATGTGCTATTTAGCACAGTGCAGCAACTTGTCAGCCATACTCTAAGTGAACTGCTGATTATTATAGCTTTAGAACTTCAATCCTCCTTTTGGAATGAGCAGTTCTTATGCAAATTCACAATAGATTTTTCCAGGTGTTGTGGCAGATCCTTTACATTTCTGATCCTAAGTCTTTTACATTAGCACTGCAGGGTGGGTTAATTATTTTCCACAGCACTTTATAGAGGAGGCACTACATTTGAATAAGGTCATCAAGTTAATAGTGTCCATGGCACCTCTAGAGGAGGTCATGCTAGATGAAGTTTGCTGCTACAAGAGTTCAAGGTCTGTGGTTTTTCCATGCTGTCACATGAAAGCGATAATTATAAGGCTCAACTATATTAACTAATATTTATTAAAAACTACCAGCCATGTGATAAGGCATTATGTTTTTAAATCTTAAATAATCTTGTAATTATGATATTGAGATTTAAGGAAGGAAAGTAATTTCCCTCAAATTATACCCCAAATTTCAAGTATTATTGAGATTCACATCTAGGCACTCCCCTCTGAATTTTGAACTTGAACTATATACTGAGATAATCAGTCTCAATACTTGCATTGGTACACTGTGATGGTATGAAGGTAGAGTAAGGAGGAATGGCCATTGAGTTGAGATTGCTTTATTTATATTCATAATTTGTATATTTCTCATATATTTTCTTTAAGCTGCTGCAAAACTCATTCATACAACCGAAATCATGATCTTTCTGATATTTAAATTTTCAGATAATTTTACAAAACATCATTCCTAATTACATCAGTGTCTTAATTTGTAGATGATTTTTGACTCTGCTCACATCAGGACTTTCTCTGTCAGGACTTTTTAGACTTACTCAACAGTAAGCATAATAAGATTTCATATCTGAGTTAGTTTAATTAACAAAAGACTAGAAAACGATGAGGGTAAGGTTATGCATTCACTCCTAAACTGGACAAATTACCTGTTCATAGCCTTACAATCTATTCATCTTAGTTAAATATACATCCCTGACCACTGCTAGGCAGTGAAAATACACCCCTGACCACTGAGACCATAATCAGAACATATGTAGCAGAACTAGTGTTCTGGGGGTAAACATTAACTTTATGCAAATTAACTTTATTCAATGCCAGTCATATATTAGGTGCTAAGTAAGTGTTTTGTGAGAAATGAATAAACAAAAGTGAAGATAAATTCGGTGTGAACTTTTCCAGTAAATTGCTGACACATAGATTCTACATTTCATGCACATTTAACACAAAGTACAAGAGGGCTCAGTTATAGACACATACCTGAAAAGAGTCTGCACATTTACAATGGTTTTGGCATCTGCCATGTAATCCTCCTCGGCACTCATGGTGCTCTCCTTATCCACAACCACCATATTGGCAGCAAAGGTCACTCCACACCTGAGCAAATCATCTAGGCTTTGATCAGAACCAACAGAGAAAAGAAGACATTAACTACAGTATTAGAATTAGCACCCAGACTTGCTGATCTCTGTATTTATACAAGTTGTCCTTATAGATGGCTTATCTAGAGTGTGCACAGATAGATATTAATGGGAATTATAATACAATATTATCTACTGACGTGAAATTATTTTATATGGAGCTCATTAGACTTCACTACATCCTTACAGTTTCAAAGCATTTGTGTTAAGAATATTTACTTAGTAATATTTGTTAATTATGTAAATGATATGTGGAAAACACCCATTTTGCAACCAAAAGAAATAGAGGACTTTGTTAGAACTTTGTTTTTACAGTTAGCATACTACTTAAAAGATACAAACTTTTATATATATATATATATATATATATATATATATATATATATATATATATAATTTTTTTTAATGTCTAAGATTCTTTTGGTAAGAGTAGAGATGGATAATTTCTATATTAATTTAGATGGCTAAGCCTAATGAAATAGAAAAATATAAAATGTTTATTTTTAAATGTCTGTTTTTACTTTATGTAAGAACTATGCACTGGAGATTGATTCTACACAGTCAAGAACATGGGAAAGATATACATATCTGTTGTATTCAAGCCTACCATTTAGACTACACACATTTTTGAGCAAGTTCTATTTTTAAGTATTTGATCAGATTAAATAACCTGATTTTCTTGGATACATGTGATGATTGTAAACCTAGGATACAAATACCTGAAAGCTATAACAGGGTAGTCTTTTCTCCTATCACTGATAAAATACCTGACCATTTCCCCTATGAATTAAAGAAAAAGATGTTTACCATTAAAGTTGAAAAAGGTTCATCATTATTCTCATTGCCTTTGCTTTTCACAAACTAGAAAAATAGGGCTGAATGGGATCAGAGAAACTAAACCTGAATGAGGGCAGGAATGTTCTAGGTTCAGAGTTGACAGAGATAGATAAGAGAAAGGTGAATTGGATTCCATATCGCGCTTACAATGGGAAGTATAAAACTGAAAGAACCACAGTTCATTTAAGATTATTAAATTGAAGAGCCAGGCCCCTGAGGATCTTTTCCAAATTCATAATTGGTTGAGCTGGCCATGTCACTTTAAAGGGGAATACTTTCCTTTTTGGGGGGAAGGCGGAAGGAAGGATTTCTTACTCTGTTATTAGGTGAGAAAGTATTACCAAAGCCTTGAGTCCAAGATCCCCAGGAGGAGTCCAGAAAAAATATTTCGCTTGAATCAGGAGCAATGTTCTGTGGCAGATATTTTATGGCTAAAACTGTGGAAACAGAATGTTATTCCAAATAAATTTCCTATGGTAAGAGGGGCTAGGACCATAACATCGAATCAATATGATGATCTTCAAGTTTAAATCTCTAGGGATACTTGGGTCTTCCTTTTTCCTAGAAAATTCTTAGTATTTTTTCTTACATCTACTAAAATAAAATTTAAAAAGTATTGTGCAGGGATTGGCACTATAGTTCCAGGACAGAGAACTTATAAGGTCCTGGGTTCAGTCCCCAACAATGAAAAAATTATAATGAGTTGTATAACAAATGAGTCCCTTATGGAACACAGATGTGACTTAATAATCTGCCTTCAAACCACCTAATAATTTTAAATTACTTCCTCATATTTCAGCTTTCACAAATGTTTTTCCTCATTAAAAAAAAAAAAAAACTCTATGGTAATTAAATAGGAAAAGAAAAAGGAAAAATTGCAAAAGGTGAGTTTGGATGAGGCTATATAGATAGAAGCTAAGACAGAAAAGATGAATAATTAATCAACAATAATTTAAGGAAACTGAACTTAATACTTGACAAAAATTTCCGTGGGAGTAGCTATGGTTAAGTTGCTAACAGCTACCACCCATACCCATATGTATCAGTGAATTCCATCTACAAAGTATTTTCAGTCTATTCATAACCTTGTCAAGTAATATCAATAATTATCATTAAAATATGTTTAAATCCACAGAAAACATACATTAGGAATAACATTCCTGAACCATGTAGATTTTTTTATCTTTATGTTTTAACTGAAAATTATTGTTTTATTTATTTAATTGTATTTAATCATTTTTTCTCCTTTAATAAGTAGGCTACTAACTTGTCTATCTTAATTTCTTTCCTCTACCTCTCTGTACCATCCCATTTTCTCCAGCAGGGATGCTCTGCACAGTTTGTCCACGAGATGGCAGCTGAAGAAAGTCAATCTGGATTTTTATTCTTTTTTTTTTTAAAAAAGTTACAGATAATCTAATTGGTGATAACACTTATGTCACCTTTCTCTGATTCCTTTTTTTAAGGACTAGAAAATGAAATTTTTTGAGTGTCAAGGAGTGCATTTTAATTTGCGAAAGGGGTCTTCTTTTAAGGAAAATTTTAAACACAAGGAAAAGAGAATTATAAAGTAAACCTCCATGTTCCTGACCCCTAACTTTAATAATTATCAATTTGTAGCCATCCCTAGAAATTTAATGGCCTCAAGTTCTCCTTTTTTCTTGCCATAAGTACTTTCGTGGAGAAAGAATTTGCTTCAGGGCTTATATCATAAAAGGCAGAGAGGAAAGGCTTATTCATCACCTTATATGATTTTTCTAGAGTTTTTTTTTTTTTTGATGGAAAACTATCATTTCAAAATAACACTACTGGATATAAAATGTGTGTAGTATTTAAATGGTAATTTTACTATATCTATTTTCATTTTAATTGGTTAGTATTATGATACCTGATAATATGAATCATGTTAATGTAGAAGTGAAGCTAAATATACTTTAGTCTAGTTGACCTTTAATGTATCCACAGCTACTAAACACTTTTAAAGTTATAATTTTCAACATATGTAGGATGACATGAGAGATCTCAATTGGCTAATTTTAGTATTTTATTTTGAAGTCACTGACATTTTTAAAAAAATGTAAAAGTAATGTATTTTATGTTACTTCATGTATGTTAATTTTCTGATCCTTCACTTTTTATGTTTTATTATGGTCTTATAATATATAAGAATTATTTTATATAAATGTACTACATATGATATCTTGATGAAAATATTTAGAAATTGTGAACAGATGTGTAATTAGAATAACTTGTTAAGAAAATATTCCTATTTACAAATGTAAGTTAAAATGAGCATTTCTACATTTAAGTTTATGGAAATGATATCAATATATCACAATATTGAACCCTTAGAGGTTTTTCTTGATACTGTAACAATATTAATAATGTAATTTTTATAGAAGATAAAAACTGAAACAGCTTTGGAAACTGAGCACAGCTGACAAAATTGACATGCAGTGAGATTTGTTTTAATTCAACAATAAATTACTGCTTAGGGAGTTTAATATAAGATGTGTAACAAGTGAATATAAGCTCTACATGCATAATTTATCATATTTGCAATACTGACATGACAAATTACACTCATCATGCAGTAACAAGGCACAGCACACAACAGACCACAGGACACTACAGTAGTAATGTGCTAAAGATTTTGTCACCTACTTGTCAATAGAGCCCACCATGTAGTAAACCATTGGAAACCAACAGATTGCATCCAGAAAATGCATATCTGGCCTAAGTAGCAGATGGGTTACAAAATGAAACACAATGTCACAACAGTGGCAGCATTTCTAAGGAAAGGAAGCAAGTTGACTTAGTTTGCATTTCCAAAACTAAAAGCTGCTGATGAACTTAATTGTAAGTGCCTTTACCTTAACATTAATTATAAAAATTATACTTGTTATGAATCACACAATGCACTCAGAATTATAAAAACAAGTACTTCATCTTTCTAAATCAGAAACATTATGGCATAATTCTACAAAAATACTGAATTAGCACCCTTAATTATGGCTAAAATATCTTATTGATGAACCTAAAAGTTACTCATACAAAGGAGACCTTGAAAATGAACCAATGATTTTCTTTTTTTATTAAATAGCCTAAAGCAAGTACCTATTAAGAGTACTCATTAGGCATACCTATTAACAGCAACTTTGTATAAGGAATGTATACAATCAAAACATGCTCCATGTTATGTCAGCATGTCAAATAAATACAGTATATATCCCTATGCAAAATATGAACTATATAAAATTATATAGTTAATGAATGCATTTTACCATTAGTTTATGGATTGACTTAATGTATATTGTTGAAGAAATATTTATTATGACTAAAATATTTACTTGTATGGAAAAGAATCATAAACCTAAAACTTACTTGGAAATCACTTAATATATTGCATTCACTTTACAGATGTATTCCTTTCATGCATCTATTTAATCAGCAAATTTGTATCCCAAAATTTCATTTCATGATTTTTAAAAAAATATTCAGGCATATTTTTTTAAAAAAATTAATACCATGGTAAGTTGTAAGATATACAGAGTTGCTTAAATGTATGCACAAAATCACAAAAATACAATATATCTTTAATCTGAAAAGAACAAACAACTCATTGCACTCTGGAGGCAGAGTTGCCAGAGAGGTGATATGTAAATTGGGTATAGAAGGAAAAGTAGGAGTTTGCCTAGTACAAGAAAAAGCAAAGGAAATTCTAGGCCAAGGTAACTATATAATCAAGGCTGATTCTCAGAGAAATTCTTTTCCCTCCTATCCTATTTTTGTTTTTCTTGGCCATTCTCCTATCTCTATATACTCTAAAGAAAAAAAAAATCTCAGTACAGCAAAGCATAAAAAATGAACCCAAAGAATACCACTCTTACTGTCTTGACTAGATTCCTACCACCAGCAAATTTCTTTGTTCTCATTTAAATGGCCCAATATATTATATCATTTAGATATATCACAACTAATTTTAAAAGTCCTCAGTTTGTAAGTTATTTTCACTTTTTGCTATTTATTGTAGTCATTTATAATATTTTGCTATCATATGTAACAGTATTATGCACAATTTTGGATTATTTTAGTTTTTGAATTGTTTTTCATCATTGAATTGTTTTTTGTCATTAC